ACTTCACTAAAATTAAAAAGTTCTGCTCTGCAAAAGACAGTGTCAAGTGAGTGAGAAGACAAGCCACAGCTGGGAGAAAATATTTGCAAAAACACATTGGATAAAGGACTGTTATCCAAAATATACAAAGAATTCTTAAAATTCAAAAATTAGAAATCAAACAACCTGATTAAAAAATGAGCCAAAGACCTTAACAGACACTAACCAAAAAAGATATACAAATAAGATGGCAAATAAGCATAAGAAAAGATGTTCCACATCATAACAAGATACTGCTACACACCTATTAGAATGGCCAAAATCCGGAACACTGACAACACCAAGTGCTGGTGATGATGTGGAGGAACAGGAACTCTCATTCATTGCCAATGAGAATGCAAAATGGTATAGCCATTTGGAAGACAGTTTGGTCTAAAAGTACAAAACTAAACATACCCTTACCATATAATCCAGTAATAATCTTACTTGGTATTTACTCAAAGGAACTGAAAACTTATGTCCACACAAAAACTTGCAAATGGATGTTTATAGCAGCTTTATTCATAACTGCCAAAACTTGAAAGCAACCAAGATGTCCTTCAATAGGTGAATGGATAAACTGTGGTACATTCAGATGATGGAATATTATTCAGCACTACAAAAAAAAAAAAAAAGAGCTACCAAGCCATGAAAAGATATGGAGGAAGCTTAAATGCATATTACTAGGTAAAAAAAGCAATCTGAAAAATCTACATACTGTATGATTCCAACTATATGACATTCTGGAAAAGGCAAAACTATGGAGACAGCAAAAAGATCAATGTTGCCAGGGGTTGGGGGAAGGGGCAGAAGTGTGGGAAGGTGGATGAATAAGTGGAGCACAGAGGATTTTTAGGAAAAATTACTCTGTATGATATTATAATGATGGATATATGTCATTATACATTGGTCCAAACCCACAGAATGTACAAAACCAATAGTGAACCCTAAGGTAAACTATGGACTTTGGGTGATTCTGATGTGTCAATGTAGAGTCATCAGTTGTAACAAATGTACCATTCTAGTGAGTGATGTTGATAACGGGGGAAGCAATGCATGTGTGTAGAGGGGGATATGGGCAATCTGTACCTTCCCCTCAATTTTTCTGTGAACCTAAAACGTCTCTAAGAAATAAAATCTTTTATTTTTAAAAATTGACATCAATTTTATACAACATCTTCCAAAAAATAGGACAGGATATTTCACAACTCCTTTTATCATGTTAGTATTATCCTGATAACAAAACCATACAAAGAAAGTATAGAAAAGAAAACAACAGACCAATATCTTTCATCAACTTAAGCACAAAAATTCTCAACAAATATTAGAAAATCAAATCCAGTAATGTATAAAAAGAATTATACACCACTACTAAGTGGGGCTTATTCCAGGTATGCAAGCCTGGTTCAATATTTGAAAATCCATCAGTGATCTATCATACCAACAGGCTAAAGAGGAAAGTTTATTATGTCAATTAGTGCAGAGGAGTGGGAAGCAGTTGGCAAATCCAATATCCACTTCTAATAATTATTCTCCTAGAAAGGAGAATAATTATCTCAATTTTATAAAAAGCATCTACAAAAACCTACAGCTAATATCATACTCAATGGTGAAAAACTGAATGCTTTCCCCCTAAGATCTGAAATAAGAGAACGTTGTTCACTTTCATCACTCTTACTCAAAATAGTATTATACATTCTAGCCACCACAATGAGGCAAGGAAAAGAAATAAAAGACAAACCCATTGGAAAGGAAGAAATATAACTGCCCCTATTTGTAGGTGACACGATTGTCTACATAGAAAATCCCAAGGAATCTACAAAAAAATCCTAGAATACTTGAGTTCAGCAACGTCAAAATCAACACAAAATCAACACAGAAAATTCAATCACATTTCTATATACTAACAATGAACATACGGAACCCCAAATTAAAAATTCAATACCATATACAATCACCCCAAAGAAAATTAAATAATTAAGCATATAGTTAACAAAATATGTACAGGATCTTTATGCTGAAAGTTACAAAATGCTGATGAAAGAAATCAAAGAACTAAATAAAAGGAATGACATGCTGTGTTCACAGACTGGGAAACAACATAGTAAAGATGCCAGTTCTCCCCAGACTGTTCTATAGGTTTAATGAAATTCCTATCGAAATTCCAGCAAGGTTTATTATATACAGAGAGAAGCTTATTGAAAAATTTGCAGGAAAAGTCACAGGTCCTAGAATAGCTAACACAATCTTAAAAAAGAATAATAAAGTGGAAGAGATCACTCTACTCAATATTAAGATTTACTTACATAGTTACAGTAATCAAGACAGTGTGGTATTGGCAGAGGAACTAATACACAAATTGATGGAACATAATAGAAAGTCCAGAAATAGACACATACAAGTATGCCCAACAGATTTTTGACAAAGGTGCAACAGCAATTCAATGAAGGAAGTACAGCCTTTTAAACAAATGGTACTAGAGCAATTGGACATCCATAGACCAAAAACAAAAAAGGACCTCCAGGAAAACCTCACGCCTTATGCAAAATTTAACTTAAAATGGATTATAGCCTTGAATATAAAATATAAAACTTAGCGAGGAAAAAAAAAAAGAGAACATTTTCAGTATCTGGGGCTACACAAAGAGTTCCTAGACATAACACCAAAACCAAAATCCATAAAACAAAAAAATGATAAATTGGACCTCACCAAAATTAAAAGCTTCTGCTCTATAAAAGGCCCGCTGGAGAAGGTTTAAAGACAAGTTAGATATTGGGAAAAATATGTGCAAACCTCATATCTTACAAAGGACTTGTATCTAGACTAATTACTCTCAAAACTCAACAGTCAAAAAAGCAAACAATCTAATTAGAAAATGGGCAAAAGACAACAACAGACACTTCACTGAAGAGAATACACACATGGTAAATAGGCAAATGAAAAGATATTCAACATCAGTAGTCATTGGGGAAATGAACATTAAAGCTACAATGAGATATTACTATATATCTAACAGAAGGGCTAAAATGAAAAATGTGACAACACCAAATGCTGGCAAGGATGTGAAGAAAACAGCTCACTCACACATTGCTGGTGGGAATGTAAAATGGTACAGTCAATCTGGAAAATAATTTGGCAGACTTGTATGAAACTAAACATACAATTACCATATGGTCAGAAACTGCTTTCTTGGGGATGTATCCCAGAGAAATAAAAATTTATTATCACACAATAATGTAGCAGCTTTATTTGTAAAAGACAAAAACTGGAAAAAACCTAGATGTCCTTCAATGGGTGAATGGTTAAACAAAACTGCGGTACATCCATACCATGGGACTTCTCTGTACATTTTTTACAACTTCCTGTAAATGTACAATTATTTCAAAATAAGTATTTAAAATCAAGAAAGGCAGTTAGAACTCTTCATACTTACATCTTTTACACATTTCTTTTCCATAAGCTCTTCTCAAGTAACCTTTTCCACTCATTCCTATGAATTCAAATTCTGCCAATATTCCCAAAATTCCAAAATCTGTATCCCAACTCAGAATCCCATGTTGAGTTCCAGACCCTTATATTCAAGTGGACATCTCCATTTGATGTCTCAAAGGCACCTCAAACTCAGTAAGTCAAAAATGTAACTTGTCTTCTTTCCCAAATACCTCTTTCTTTCCCAGTGTTCCCTATTTCAGTAAATTGTACTGCCATTCACCCAACCAGAAATCTGGATGACATCCTTTACTTTTCCCTACCCTTCATTCCTCACATTCAATTGATCATCGCTTTTGTTTCATTGTTATCTCTAGAATCCCTTTACTTTATTTCATACTCACTGCCACCACCCTAGTCTATTCTGTTGTCTGGAGAGCTGCAACAGTCTCCTAAATTTCTCTTTCAGATCTTTCCCACACACATCCCATATCTCTACCCAAATCCATTCTCCATACTGAAGTCACATGAATATTTTTAAATCATAAATGTCGTTAAGTAATTCCCATATTTAAAACTCTTTAAAGGCCTTTTATTACACCCAGGATCATTTCTAAAATCAAGGCTAGAAGACCCTCTACCACATGACTCTTAATCAATTTCCTTCCTCTGCACTCCAGCCACACAGGTGGGCTTTTAGTTAAACATCTCACACCTCACGACCTTCACACTTGCTGGTTCCTCTGTCTGAAACAACCTAACCACCTCCTACCTCCTTTAACTTGGTTAACTCCACTCCATCTAATATAGCTTTATAAAGCATTGCTTATCCTTAAAAGATAGATATTATTTTTCTCATGTTGCACATAAGAAAAGTGAGGTTCAGAGAGGTTAGGGTATTTGTCCCAGGCCACATAACTATTAAGTAGGAGAGCATAATTGCCTAATTACAGAGCTATGCTAATTTCGTTATGGGCAAGTTACTTACTTACTCTGTGCCTCAGTTTCTTCATCAATAAAATGAGAACAATAATAATATTTAGCTCACAAAGTCATTATAAGAATTAAATGAGACAATATGTAGAAAACAAAGCAGTATCCATTATATAAGTAGTATATAAGTATATTTTTTATGGTGGCGGTGGTGATGGTGATTATTATTATTATTATTACTACACATTATGTTTTAAAGCCCCAAGAGCAAAATCTACCTTTTCCTTTTGAACCTTATAGCAGAACACCTGCTGTTTTTGTTTTTTGTCTTTTATAAATTCCTATGCCCCCTTCCAGGCTCCTATCTCCATCCTCCCTTCTGGCATACTTCCATGTTTCAGCCTAAGAACTCTATTCACAGGAAGTTTTAAGCCCATAATAAAAAGTTTTACTTAGGTCCTACAAATGACTGAGCCTGTATGGAAAATGATTAGCATATCACCTATTTTCCAAACTTTCATGTTCCTGATCCACCAGCTCTCCTCTCTAACACAGCTTCACAGCCTCACCCCCAATACAGTCCTAATCTACTTGACAAAGAGATACCTTCAGTCACTCACCAGTCACCATCAGCAAGGTTAACAGGATGCACTTCATGTTGATGCCTGAATCCTGTCCCGAGGATAAGGATGTAGTGGAAACTAACAGGCACAAAGCAGGAATAGAACTTATATCCTGCCTGAGGATTCTGAACAGCAGGAGAAAGTGCAGGTGGGAGAACTGAGGATGAGGATTCTACAAAAGTCTGTCATCTAGAGGTCTCTCCTTCCAGTCTTGATCCTTAGTGTAAAAAAGAATTCATCAGTCACACCTGCCCACTCTCTCTTGTCAGTAGGCATGGAAATCTTCTCAGTCTAACTGAAATCTGCACTGTGGGAAGATGAGCTCCAGGGATCTGAGCTTTATCTACCTCATCTAGGGAACAGAATTCCAAAGTAGGAGTCAAATGAACCTTCCGTGGAGTTAAAATTCATCTCAAGTTCCTTCCTTAGCCTCTCAGTTCTTTTCACTAGTTCCTTCCCCACAATGTGCAACTAGCACCCCTCCCTCTACCTGTCCCATTGACCACTCTCCTTTCTGGACTACTCTGATGAAGCAGAGCTCTGTCTCCACCCCTCTGTGTGACACTGACTCCCCTCCCCTTTATGCGTGTCATACTCAGCCCACCCCTCCTCAGAACTGCTTCACTTGAACAGGTCATATCTCACAACCACAGACACCACTTGAATAAAAGTTCCCAACCAATACCAATACCAGTGGCTCTTGTCAGAGCTCTAAATCTGTGCTTACTATACTGCCCTCTTGGACATGGCTTGCTCTCTCTCTCTTTTCTTCTCTGTAGCTGCCTTTTGCAAATTGATTTTTGGTGGCAAAGCATAACAACAATATTACCTAAACAGAAAATCAGTTAGATGGCAGAATGAAACAATAATAGATTTAGAGTCCCTATAAACCTCAGATATTCTGTGGAATGAGGCTGGGGACAGATATGTCTCCATATGTACACGGAATCTATAATAACACTAATAGATAAAGAACTTAATAAAAAAAATTGACAACCATATGAGGAAATGTTGACTATCATACACACACAGACACTCATCCATCCATTCATAGGATTCTAAAGTTATTTTTTCAAAGAGAAGCTTTAAGAACAATGTCCATATCAGATATCAGTATCCTAAAACAAATAGAGAAAAAATAAATGAGATTGGCAAAGTAAAGGAAGCATTTAAAGGCTAAAGTAATATAAAAAGTCAGTATTGAAACAAGAAAGCCCACACTTGAAAGTAGTTTGGTAGGTCTGGAAAAAAGCGTATGGGGTGGGTGGGTAGGAGAGGGGTGGCAAAGAGGGTATGAGAAGAGAGGGTGACAAAGATGAGGATGAGGATCAAGGGAGGTCCCTAAACCACGCCAGGGGTTTATCCTATAAACAGTAGGGAACTGCTGAAGAGCTTTAAGAAGGAGAATAATACGATCTCATTTTTTTTAGGAAAAAAAACAATCCTAGGTAAAAGACAGAATGTCAAGTTGAACAACAGTAGATGAACTAATGTTCAAGCAAGACAAGATTATGGCCTGGATTAGGATGACAGCAGTAAGAATGGAAAGACATGGATGGATTTTAGAGATTTCTGGAAGTATGATAAACTTTGGGATTGAGTGGGGAGAAAAAAAGAGAAATCAAACAAGTGGAAGGTAGAGTTACTTCCTAAAATAGGGAAAACAGGCAGAAGAATGAATGTGAAAGGCTGGAGCAGTTTAATTGCGACATGAGAAATTTCAGGGGCCTAGAGGAGATACAAACAGTGGTTTCTAAGAGGGAGTTGTATATGGGGGACTGGAGGTCTGGCTAGAGACACCAGTTTGAAACTCACAGACAGGTAGTAGTGCCTAGTGCCAACCTCCTCCAGAAAATCTGTTGCTTTAGAGACCTTTTCCTAGGTAGCAACCTTGCTTTTCTGCTCTTAGCCCTCACACTCCCAAACCAGTCCTCAAACTCCCTTCCTGGCCCATAATCTCTCCAAAAGATGTAGGAAAAACAACCTCAGAGTAAAGTATATCTCTTTCTCAAATTTTTGACTGTTTTAGCTTATCCCAACCCCTACTATAGAAAACTCTCCACAACTCCATCCTGTCTTTGAACCTATATATTTGAACATGGTATATTTCATAAACCAGCTCTACTCCCCAGTGTACCCGTGCTCATTGTGAGGTACTAGAAAGTATGTGCCATGTCTGTTCTTCACTTCACACTTGAGGAAATTTGTCTGTGAGAATGCGTAGTTTTCCAAGATCCATGAGTGCTAGTTGATTAGCTGAAACCTGCAGGATGTGGTTGAAAAGCTGTGTGTGTCTAGACCTAGATTCTACTTCTAGTCTTTCTAATCATGTGCAATTTTGAGAAAATCACTTAAATTCTCTCTGTTTCAATTCTGTCACCTACAGATCAGGAAAAAAAAAAAAATGATACCAGCCTGTCTCCTCTTTCCAGCGTTGTTGTGACATTGGAATGAGATTATGGGCTTAAGAAAATTTAAAGGGTTAGAGTGATACAAAGTGTAATTAATTTTACATCTCAAACTAACCTGTTAAAAAATTACCACTAACAATGTCTGTAAGGAACTTAGTGCCTGGGATTCAGTAAATGCTCAATGAATGTTAGCTATTAATGTTGTGAGGGAACAGAATTTGTTATCCCAAAATGTGACTCTTTGGCTTAATTATTCTTAAGAACAAAAGACTCAGGAAGAAACTTTGACCTCCCCCATAACTACCTAAATGAATATAAGATAGAAGGCCTGTTTTAGGAAGGAGCTAATACCATAAGATAACTATAGTATAATATGAACCAGGTTTGGTAGGAAGACAGAAACCTAGCAAGGCCCATTTGATCCAAGTCCTCTCCATCTCTTGCTGCCTTTGCAAGGCATGCAAACATTTGTTTAACAAACATTTGCTTTTCCGTCTCCATGTGAATTGCCTTTTCCCCTTTGAAGACCCAAACCACTACCCCCAATATCCTCCTTTGTCTTTAGCTGCAGATGATGTTTAAGGTGGTGGCTTCAGCCACTTTGGTGAGTTACTCAGTTTTCCTGGGTTTCTCTCATGTGTAAACGTTATTAAATTTGCTTCATTTTCTCCTGTTATTCTGTCTCATGTCAATTTAATTCTTAGACAAGCCAGAACCAAGATTGTAGAGGAATATTTCTTCCTCTCCTATAGTGTTAACTGCTCTTTTTCTTGTTAGCATGTGCTCACAATTATCCAAGGATGACCAACCATGGCAGTCTATTATTGGCTGAGAAATCTTTTCATTAGGCAAAAAGCACTTAGAAGTCCTGCCCTCTGAATTGTCACCAACATACAGCAGATCCTAGATCTAAGGTAATCTAGAGTGTAAATCTCTCCTCAACTGTCAAAATAACTGTTATATGAATGTTTTTTGTTTCCACATTTCCTCAGCTCAAAGCTGTTGATCAGGACAACCAGACTAATTTGGTGATGATGACTGAGTGATGAAATAGTGATCACAGAGAAAGATGAAGCTAGTGTAATAAAGATGGGAGGGGCTGACAGAAAGTATATAGTAGGGGGTTCAGAGCAAACCTGGGGACACTGTCTTCCTGAGCTAAGGTGGAGAATCCTGTGCCCCACAGCCCTGGCCTCAGAAACTCCATGCGGAAGATAAGTCCTGAGCCTAGAGCTCCCTTTCGCACAAAGAGCTGAACTACTTTTAGGTAGATGGGCTTTTAGAGACAGCAGATAGAGGTACCTGGATCTAGAAGTCTAAGAAACTAGGTTTCTTCTTCCTTTCTTGAAAGATCCCACTAGATGCAGTCCCCCACCTTCCCCGGAGCAGAAGAGCCTCCATCTGTCTATCCAGAGCCTTCTTTCTTCCCCTCGTTTATGCCCAGAGCTGCATTCCAATCCCATTGCATGCCTCCATACCTAACCATATCCACTGATTCTTCCAGGTGTTCCTGAGAAGACCGAGCTGCGAGTTCCATACTCTGCTGATCTTCTTCTACATCTCACAGGAAAAGATCTGGACTGCTATGAAATTTATCTCCTATTTGAGTGTCACTGTTGGTATGTATCCACGACCTTCTACTCTGCCCTAAAAGGCATAAGTTAATGTAGGATGGTGTAAGGCAGAGGCGGGATGTGTGGAGGGTGCAAAAGAAGAGTCGAGAAAAACAGTCAGGAGCAGTATTGGGAGTCTCCCCTCTTAGACGCCATCCAAAGGTCTTCAGGAAAGGCTGAGCCCACCCTTCCAGTGCTAAGCTATGGGGTGGGTTATGGTGCGCACCTGCCTTGGAGAATGCTCAACAGCGAGTTATTCCAGAATGGGGCCTCATCACCCACTGGGCAAGTCCCTGTAGTCACAAGTACAGAGAACTCATTTTGACATCTGACATACTTCCATTTTCAAAAGCTTAGAAACTCAGAATTCAGGGAATGGAAAAGGTGGGAACAAAAGATCAGATGCAAAGGCCCTACCTCCTGTACTCCCTGACTTCCATGAAGTTCTTCTGAAGGCAAAACTTGCCGCTGAGGCATTTCCCACCACTCCCTGACAGCCTAGGTTGCATCATAAATTAGCTATATGAGCTTGGACACGTTAATTCATCTATGCTTCAGTTTCTACAGTAAAAATGGTGATATTACTATCTACAATATAGAGTCATTGTGAAGATTAAATAAATCCATGTAAAGCACTTAACACAAGATCTCAGTGTCTCTTGTCCTTATTAATACTCCATCCTTTTTCCCTTGGGATTTCGAATTATGTGATCACACAGAGAAGGGTGTGGTGGGGTACAAGCCTAGGCCTGGGGAGGATCAAAAGAAGTACTGAGGGCAGCTGAGACAAGATCAGTACTTCACTTCTGATACTAGAATCAGCCTTCCTCCCCTTTCTTCTCTAGGTTTTTTTTTTCAATCATTCATTTATAAAAACATTGCATGTTCATATTAGAAAATTTGGAAATATTAAAATGTAGAAAAAAATAAATATCACGCATGTTCCCACCTCTCAGTCAACACATGCTAACGCTTTGTCTGAATTTATTTGCAGGCTTTATTTTTTGCATTTAAATGGTTTATTTTTGCTTGTTTACTTGTTTTTAGACAACTGGATTACTGGATTAAATGTACATTTTATTATTATTTTCAATTTATTCCTTTTTCTGTTTAATGTTCTTTATAAATACAATTTTAACATATATAGTGTTCCACTTGTTCATGTAATTTTTTATTTCGATGTCTAAAATTACTGTATGGGACATTTATGTTTCCAATGTTTAGCTACTATAAATAGTGCTAAAATCATCACACTTATTCTTAATCTTTATCTACATCTGGTTATTTATTTAGAATGATTCTTGGGGTTAGAATTATTAGGTCACAGGTGATGAACCATTCACAATCCTTTACGCCTATTTCTAAATTGCTTTTCAAGAAGATAGAATCAATTCACATTCCTACAAGCAGTGAATGAGAGTCTTTCTCACTGTACTTTCTTAGACTGAATATTATCAACATTAAACAAAAAATGATTATTATAAATATTAGATAAAATGGTATGTCATTTTACTTTACATTTTTATTAGAAAAAAATGCCAAACAGGCCAATGAATCACATCTTTAAAATTGTCCATATTCCTTTTCAACTAGGAAATTGTTGATCATTTTATTTGTTCTAAGAATGTCTTATATATTAAGAACATTAATTATTTTCTCAGGGATATTTTTCTCTGCTCCGTCATCTGCGCAGAAAGAAGACCATGCTCCCTATTTGGTATACCTCAAGTCTCACTTCAACCCCTGTGTGGGTGTCCTCATCAAAACCAACTGGGTGCTGGCCCCAGCTCACTGCTACTTACCGTGAGTATTGGGCATCCCCACCCTCTGAAACAGCTACTACTCATTCTATATCAGTGGTTCTCAAATCGGGGCAACCTTCTCTCCAGGGTACATCTGGCACAGTCTGAAGATATTTTTGGTTGTCACAAAGTGGGAGAGGTGGGCTATGCTATTGGCACCTATCTAGCAGATAGAGGCCAGGGAAAGGATGCTGCTAGACATCCTACAGTACACAGGACCGTCCCCCACAACAAAGAATTATGCAATCCAAACTGTCATCAGTGCCACTGTTGAGGAACCTTGCTCTATACACTATGCCTCCTCACTCTCCCATCAGTTTTTCCAAGTTTTTTACTAGCAATATGAATATGTTTTATCAGATAATGGACCAGCAGGTAACTGATGGTGCAATCAAATTGGAAACATGGAGGAGAATTTTTTAAAAGAACAAATGACAAAGGTATAGACAAGTTATAGGGAAAATACAAAAGATAGTTCAGTACCCCCAGGGTTAGTCTTAGAAAGGTGCAGTTACTACCCTTGGACCCACTGGGGCAAGGGGAGAAAATGGTAACAGGCGGAGCAGGAGGAGAGAGAGAGAGAGAAAGCGCTGTATGGTGAGACTGCCTGATATGAGTTGTAACCTTTGGTCAAGAAACACAGCCAATGGTTAAATCTGTGGCAAACCTGCAGGAAAGGAGCTAGGAGGATAAATGCTCCAACCTCACTCTTCTCCCTCCAGTTACTTTCCATTGCTTCCTACTGGCCAAAACCCAATCAGAAGCCAGAGGACAAGGGAGCCTATTGACTCCACATATATCACCTTTCAAAGGTGCAAAGCAGGATGAAGTAGGGTTGTGAGTGGATCTAATGAAGCAAACAGGAGATATCTAATACTCAGGTCATCCCATTCTCTTACCTCCACCATAATAAAAATGTCCAATTAGATAGGCTGGAGCTAGAGAGGAGGGAAAATAATATTTCTATGTCATGCATAATTTTCCTCTCCACTACATTAAGGACACTACATGAAAACATAGTGGTTAAAGCCTGCACCACTTACTGTGTGACCAAAGGTGAATTACTCTTATGTGCCTCCATTACTTCATCTGTAAAATGGGGATTAAAAATAGAATCCACCTCATAGATTTGTTGTGAATGGTAAATGAGGTCATCCAGAATCCAGGTAAAGCACTTGGCACAGTACCTGGCACATTGTAACACTCAATATCAGCTTTGATGATGATGATGATGATGATGATGATGATGATGATAATGATGATAGTGATTATTTCCAACCTCCTCTCCCTCCAGAAATCTGAAAGTGATGCTGGGAAATTTCAAGATCAGAGTCAGAGATGGGACAGAGCAGACAATTAACCCTGTCCAGATTATCCGCTATTGGAACTATAGTCATAGCTCCCCCCAGGATGACCTCATGCTCATTAAGCTGGCTAAGCCTGCCACCCTCAACACCAAAGTCCAGCTCCTTTCCCTCGCCACCAGCAACTCCAGGCCAGGCACCGTCTGTGTGATTTCAGGTTTGGACTGGAGCCATGACAACAGTGGTGAGTGTACCTCCCACAGCAAATCAGGGTCATCAGTTACCCCTGAAGAGGAGCACCCAGGTCTGCACAGCTGAGAAGAGAGAGGAGAATGGGTGGAAACCAAAGAGAGATACTACATGAGCAACCTGGCAAAAAGAGACCCACCCAGAAGCCCAAAGCTCCTCCTTTCCCAGGGTGTCTAATGCCCCACAGCCTCCTCAGAGCTTCAGCAGCTGGAGCCACCAGGCCATCTGACTCTGCACAGAAGCCACACTATTCCTGATTGTCAGAGGCACAATTCATATGAAAGAGGCTGTGCTCTTCCCTCCCATACAGGCTCATTTTACACGTAGAGGACACCTCTGAGAATTTGAGTCAGGTCCCCTCTTATTCCTCCAAGACTGGACACAGAGCAGAAAGAAAACTCTGCTTTTTAAAGAGACACAAAAGCTATTTCAAAATCCTCGAGATTAACTCTCATAACCATGCACAAGATCATTTCTTTCCTTTTTCTCATTCCTTATTTTCTCTAGACACACACACAAAATACCAGTTGAAACAGAGGGTGGTGGTTGGAAGGGCTAAATAACAATGGTGAACAGGAGGTTTCTTCTATCCCTGTCTTCCCTCAGGCCGACACCCTGATTTAAGGCAGAACCTGGAGGCCCCTGTGATGTCCGATAAAGAGTGCCAGAAAACCGAACAAGGAAAAAGCCACAGGAACTCCTTGTGTGTTAAATTTGTGAAAGTGTTTAGCCGAATTTTTGGGGTAATCTTTTCTCTATATTCAGTTTTCATTTACTTGTATGTGTCTAGTTAACTATTTAATCATGATATTAAAAAATAAATTAGAAATCCCTCATCCTCTCATAATTTTTCGAGAATTTGATAAGTCTGCAGCAAAACCCCCATTGTTTCTTCAGTAATGGGCTCTCCTTACAGTTGTCTTTATTCATTAAAGGATATCACGCAGTACCTGTAGTTAACAACACTTGGTAGGTTCTTATTCTCATAGCTGCAAGTGAAAACGGGCATTGCTTAAAAAAAATAATTCAAACTTCACAAATTGAAACTGGCTTCACCAGTTCAAATAAATGAGGTTTGATTCATTTCACATGTGAGTTCTAGGGAGGTTTTTCTCTGACTTTCTCAAGATCACACGAGGCTAGTTAACGGCAAAGATAAATCAGTGACTCAAGCTTCCTGTCTCGTGATCCAGGGCTCTTTTCATGACCCAGCAGGCTACTTCTGGGCAGGGTTCAACCAAGCTGGGGACCAGAGGGCTCCGGTGAGAATATCTGACCATATCTCTTTCTATCTCCCTCTCTCTGCACGATCTCTGGTAGGAGGTGGCTGTCGCTACTGTCATCTGCAAAAACAAGCTCCAGGGAATCGAGGTCGGACACTTCATGGGAGGGGATGTCGGCATCTACACCAATGTTCACAAATACATACCCTGGATTGAGAGCGTCACTAAAGATAAATGAGACCCTACTACTCCCTCCGCATCCCACTGGCTCCACCATCGACTCTACGAGCCATTACTTTACCCAAACTCAAAGTAAAACGTCCAAATAGAAATATCTGGATACATCACACCAGTAGCCTATGTTTCCTTGTTGTGTCTCTGCCTATATCCCATAACGATGAGAAGAACCAAGAACAAAACATGAAGTGAACACTTACTACACTGTACTTGGTTACATTCATTATCTCATTTAATGCTCATAACAAACTTTTCAGGTTATCTTTTATCCCCACGTTACAATGAGAAAAGTGAGACTAAAAGAGGTTACTTAACATTATATATAGCTGGTAGATATCAGAGTCTGGAATGGAACCCCAAAATGTCAGATTCTCAATCCCATGCTCTTAGCCTCACAATTATAGGGGAGTCCATGGCATCACAACAGATGTTGGCTTCTATTTTCCTGATACCTTTCTTATCATTCAAAGGGCCTGAAACCCTCTCTTGTGGCTAAGACCCTGGGTACTGGAATAAGCTCTCCTAAGAATGGTCATGCTTCATCTCACTGCTGGGAGAGAACTAGTGGATAGATAGGAAGTAAAAAACAGAACTTCAGGACAGGGAGTCCTGTCCTGAAGTTGGAAGTTTGGAAATCAAATCCAAAGGGAGGTCTGGCAGCTCCAGAGTATGGTGAAGAAGTCACCTATACCCAAGGAGAGTATAATCTCAGGGCAGTAGCAGAGCTCAGAGGCAGAGAGGGCTGAGAGGAGGCGACGGAAGGGCAAAAATTGGGCTTAGCCACAGACTATAGAATTAACAAGGTCGAGAAAGCAGAAACCAGGCCTCTGGTTGAGATCTTGGTAAAACACCTCTCCAGATGTCCCAAATCTGGAAGTGAGAGAGGAATTCTGGATATCCAAGAGATGGGGGCATATAGGACAAGGATGGGTAAAGCAATCTCTGAGTAGATGAAGATTCAGGAAACAACCGCACACTATCAATATTTTCTATTCCCAAGGTTTGAAATACAATCTATACTTTAATGATTTCTGTGTTACGCAGAATAATGGCCCCCAAAAAATGCCCACACCCTAATCCCCAGAACCCATGAATATGTTGCTTTACATGGAAAATTCAACTTTGTAGATGTGATTATGTTTATGGACCTTAAAATGGAGAGATTACCCTGGATTATCTGGGTGGGACCAATGTAATCACATGGGCCCTTAAAAGTAGAAGAGGAAGGCAGAATATTTGGCCAGAGAGATGCTACAACAAAAGAAGAGGCAGCAGAGATTCAAAGAATGAAAAGGAACTGAGCCAGCATTGCAGGCTTTGGAGATGGAAGAAGAAGGCTACTAGGCAAGGAATGTGAGCAGACTCCAGAAACTGGGAATGATCATCAGCTACCAACTAGCCAGGAAATGAGGACTTTAGTCCTACAATGCCAAGGAATTGAATCCTTCCAACCACCAAAATGAGCAAGGAAATTGATTCTCCCCAAAAAGGAATGCAACCTGGATGACATCTTGATTTTAGCCCAGTGAAATCTATCAGACTTCTGACCTACAGTACTGTAAGATAATAAATTTGTGTTGATTTGAGGTGTTTGTGGTAATTTGTTACAGTAGCCATAGAAAACTAATACAACTTTTAAATCCATATCCCCTAAAAGAACTGCTTTTTATAATGGGGTGTAAAACCTTTAATGGTTCCCAATTGCCCTGAGAATAAATTCTAAACTCATTAGAATGGCATCCAAGCCTCCTTCAGACGTCCGAGCCACCCCACCCCACTCCACAAATATTTCTAAATACAGTCATGTGTCACTTAACCATGGGGATATGTTGTGAGAAACGCGTCATTAGGCAATTCTGTTGTTGTGCGAATATCACAGAGTGTACTGAAGGGCAATAAAATTTGCCGCCCCAAAATGTGTCTCTTTAACATGAGGATTATTTTAGGCTGATTATTTTTAAGAAACAAAAGACTCAGTTTTTCTTGTCACCTCCCCCTTAACTGTCTAAAAGATTTCAGATTAACAAACTGTCTCAGGAAGCAAGCTATCACCTTAGCATAACATGAACGAGGTAGTAGACAGGGAGGAACCTAGGAAAGCCTGTTTGTTGGTCTTCCCTCTGTGTTCTGTTTCTATGTGGCCAAACTAACACCTGTTTTCTGAACGTTTACTCCTTTTCACCTACCTGTGAATTGCCTTCTTTCCCTTTGAAGTATCTGACTCTCCCCACCTCCAACATCTTTTGTCTTTAGCTGATGATGGAATTTTAGGTGAGGGCTTTGGACACTTTGGGAGTTACTTGGTTTTCCTAGGTTTCTCCCATGTATACATGTTATTAAACTTTTGTTTGTTTTTCTTCTGTTAATGTGTCTCATGTCAATTTAATTCTTAGACCAGTCAGAAGAACCTAGAAAGGTAGAAGAAAATTTCTTCCTCCTCTACAGTACTTACACAAATGTAGATGGCACAACCTACTACACACCTAGGCTACATGCGACTAATCTTATGGGATAACTGTTGTATACGCAGTCCATCGTTGACCGAAACCTCATTATGTGGCATATGACTGTACATCTGCTGCACTTGGCACCGCTTCCTGACCCTATGAAATGCAAATCTGTGTAAAAAGAATGTCAGAGGAAAACGTAAAGAAAAGCCCATTGCCTTCTCTCCTTTTAAGTTGGCAACCTGATCAAGACCCAAACTTAACAAAGTTAGATCCATTAAAAAAAAAAATTCTTTGAGGGACCAGCCCGGTGGCATAGTGGTTGAGTTCACACACTCTGCTTCAGCGGCCCAGGGTTCGTGGGTTCGGATCCTGGGGTCACACTGACACAACACTTGTCAAGCCACGCTGTGGCTGCGTCCCATATAAAGTAGAGGAGGATGGGCACAGATGTTAGCCCAGGGCCAATCTTCCTCAGCAAAAAGAGGAGGACTGGCAATGGATGTTAGCTCAGGGCTAATCTTCCTCAAAAAAAAAAAAAAATTCCTTGAGCTGAAGTCAAGTCTTCAAGTGTTGAAGGCAAAGGCCACAATATCCCAGGCAAAGCATTTCCTCTTCTCCCATTGCCTATGACTTAGGCAAAGACAAATCATATCAATCACTATCCAATCAACTCCTCTATGTTAGTTTTTTCCAACTTTTTCAACCCCATTAATTAGAGTGCCACTCTCCAGACACAGCAACCAACAGCATGAGTTCTGGGGCTGAATCATCAAGACTATAGTTCATCTGGCTGTGAGTGCCACCTGCCTGAGTGTCCAGCTGCATCTCATGGATCGCTTTCCCTCTGCTCCTCCCTGCATTTCTGGTTTCTACATCCAAGGTCGTACTGTGTTTTCTCCTTGAGAGAAGTGTCAGCTGATCTTCATTAATGTTATTTCACTGATCTTGATCCCCAACACCCCCAAAATGGGTTTTAGATTGTATTCTGCCTTGGAGAGAGAGCAATTTTACTCCAAAATAAGACTATGCTCTTAAACGGGGCCCAGTGAGGGTGCCCAATTCTCCTTTTTTGGCTTAGCTCTCCTCATCTCACTATGGAGACCCTCAGGGCCATGCCCTCACCTAGAACCAGGAAGGATATACTGGAGCCTGAGAGTGTCATAACAAAATCTGCCATGTTCATTTGCATAAACTTAATAAAAATAATAGAGGAAGATAAGCTACTATTTTTTGAACATCTACTATATAGCAGGCACTGTGTTAGACATTTTGACATGCATTATTTGCATGTCACTCTTTTAAGGGAGTTATATTTCCCCACTTACTTGAGGTTCCTGAAAAAAAGATATTTAGTAACTTGTCCAAGACCATAGAGTTAATAAAAGGAAGAGCTGGGACACAAACCTTGATCCAACTGACTCCAAAGCCTGTGACACTTCCTTTATGTTTTTCCATAACTACATTTCTAAATACAGATGTTTCCTAGATACTTACATTCGCTTCTTTCCTCGGGTGAGGTTAAAAGCCCCTATTTAGATAATACAAGAAGTTTCATGGTTTCCCATATGCTCTTTGATTTTAGTCCTAGTGAAAAATTCTTTGAGGTTTGTATATAGTGAGTCTTCAGGATTCCTATTTAAATTTAAGGTTTCCCTGAAAAACCACTCCATAATATTCCAGTTCTGTATTCCAGAAAGTGATAGATTTAAGCCCAACATAGATATAACTAGAATGACTGATAATGATATCAATAGGTGATTGGCAATATCATTTCAACTTATATATTTTGGCAAATAGCTTTGAATGAGGAACCAAAGCCAAAACAGCATTTTAAAATCAAATAGTCATATTTTGGATTAAGAAATTTACTCTCCTTTTACAAAGATTTTCATGTTTGCTAATGGCATGAACTTTACCAATGATGAATAACAGCAGAAATAAATTTAAGCAATCTACAGATAAATGCCTGGAACATAAAGGTGAGGCAAAGAACAATTTGTAGAACTATTAGCACATCAGTTTGGATTTCTAGAAACAATATATTTTGGTCGTAATCAACGGAAATAGATGTTTAACCTGCTTCATTTTAGCAACTAATGTTTCTGAAATAGATTTGGATATAATTTATTCATCTTCAGAGTAAAGAAATTTCTGTCATTTTTACATCTCAACAGAAAATTATTGCTGAGTGAAAATATTTTCAACTCAGAAGGAATGTCTGTCAACCATGTGTCTTAATTACCTCATGCACATAAATTTTTGTGTAAGAATTCAGCTTGTAGACTGATCATTAATTCTGATATGGATTTTTTAAATAGTTATTCTAAAATCTAACAATAAATTTCAGAAATAATCATAAAAGCTTTAAGATTTTTAGATGAGTATCCACCATGCTCCTCCATATTAGAATATTTTAGTGCGTGTGGATATTAAATAAAAAGGAAAACTGTACCTATCCATCATCTTCCGACTTAGACACATCCTAATCAGTGCAACATCACGTTCTTGGCTAAGATGAATGCCCTACTGAGAAAGAATATGCGGCCAAAAGAGAAGAGGTTTTGAAAAACCACTTAAAAATCTGTGTTAGTAAACTTTTAAAGGTTTCTAAAGGTATTGGTTTAAAAATACTTAATGTCAAATAGACAATAATCTTGGGGATGGGGTATAGTTTAGGTGGATTAGCCCAA